ACCCTTAGGCAAAAGGTATGGCTCGTAGTCCAATGAATTATTATCTTTACCAGATTGAGTTAGATTCAGCTATTTCTATATATAGATCGGAGATAGTCAAACATCAATGAATGTGAACCCCACTATAAATTTTAGGATTGAAGTATGTACAGTTTGGATATGGATTGAAGGTATAACGCTTTGAAAGTATCCATCATTATTAAAATCTGTCCATCAGAATATAGAGTTCCAAAAGTTATTCTTTGGTACAACAGTGATATTATTGCACTTCAAAAGGTGCTAGCTGCTCGTAAATTTGTTGCACTAATGTAAGTCTAGAACTTGCGCCCTATAGTGGAGCGTAATTACATATTGTAGTGCTTTATTTGACAGAAGACGCCGTTATAAATTGTTTGTTTGGTGGATGCTGTTTGGAGTAAAATCTGAAAGCACCTGTCAGATTTTTCAAACTTATATTATGATATAACTCTCGACGACCATGTGCACAGTAATCTGTCAATTGATGAGTAGTTGCTATTTAAAAAATACCTATGGCAATATTTAACTACGAAACCTTAAGTTTGTGTAGAAGGCTTTAAGAGGCAGATAAAATCAATGCAGAACCTCGCACTCAAGTGCACTGGTTCAAGTTGAAACAATTCATATTAGCATACATAGAACAGGTGAGACAAAAAAGTCATAAAGTTGTGTGAGACAATAAACAATTTGAAGACAAACCTTACTGTGAATATTCAAGGTGCAGAATATGTCAGAGAGTGAATGCATCTGCACCACTGTGATCGATCTTAGGCCATATCATCAGGAGACCTCAACAACTGATTCCTATAGTCTTGGTGACTCTAACCAGGCAGCCTACATCTGCCCACATGGCTCAGACTAGCAGTCAGGGACTTCATCAACTGGTACCAGTTCCCGGTCTAGCCACTCTAAACCCTCTTCGAACCTAGTCCAACTCCGCCTAGCATGACTCGTCGGGGTAAGCGGTGGCTCGACATGCACAGTACATGTCCACGCCATCTCAGCAGAATAAGGTTCACAGACTCATCTATCGACTTGCCTGCCTTGTCTAGTACCCTTTACCTGACTTTACTACTGCTTACACTGCAACTGCACCAAACGCGGTCAATTTTTATTATATTTTATTTGTCCTTTGGGTTTCTAATGGAACATAGGGCTCCAATAGCACGTCTCCAATGCGCTCTATTCCCTGAAATCTTTTGAACCTTGCTCTACGACAGCCCACAAGCTCTCATTTCCTCTTCGCACGATCTCCTCCATGTCACCCTCGGACGACCAACTCGTCGCTTCCCGTCGGGGTTCCACTCGAGGGCCTGACGCGTGATGTCCCCAGTCAGCATTCTCAGTGTATGCCCAATCCATCTCCACTAACGCAGTCAATGTTACGAATATATCTGTGCTTTAAACCCTTTTAGCACTTCATGTCTTCTACTTTAAACAGCCATATCCCACATCCAAACAACCTGACTAGGGACTGGAGTGCAGTTTACTTATCCTCTGATAGATAGTTAGATATCTTGCCGGTGCCACAGACGACACAGGTTGACAAATACGAAACGGGCTTTCTGCCTTAGGGCTGAGATTTTGTCAGCAACCAGCCTATTTGGGTTGATGCAGCTCTTCAGTATGTAAACTGGTCGACACATTCCATCACTTCCTTTCCGATCATTAAATTGGGAGTACTTACAGCAGACCAGTCCTACAGCATCATCATCTTACACTCAACAGGTGTCAGTGCCAGCTAAAAATGCTCAAATTTCTGCTCAATGCGTTCACAAGACCCTGCATTGCGTCAGCGTCTTCTCACAGCAGGACAATGTCGTCTGCATACTCTAAATCAACCAGGTGACCTCCAGGGAGTAGGTCAGTTCCTACGAAGTTAGACGTACCTATGTTTATGTCTATTAGTGCGTCTCTGACTAAGTTAAATAGGGACAGTGACACCGATAGTTATCGTCAATTCTAATGATAATGTGCTGTAGTTCTAAATAATTATGATTGAAAAAGATAGAAATATCTGTAGTGTCTTTAGTACGACACACAACCTGAATGTTATTACTGAGAATAAGAAGCGAAAATGAAAAAATCCATATTTCATGTCATACATTACACTACTCATAAAAGTCTCTAACACTTAACCTTTTTCTCTACCTATTTCGGCAGTGATAAAGAAGCAGTGTAGCTGCTACTGTCTTCGTAAATGTGGTGCATGATTATACCCTGCTGCGTTTTTATGAAACTAAAAGATTATATAAAGCAGGAAAATGGAGATCAGTTTACACTTTTCAAGCGCTTGAACCATCTTCTCTCTTATAAGACAGAAATTCTCAAAACAGGGTTGTTTGAGTTATCTCACAAAAACCACTTGCAGAGAAGATTTACATGTTACTTCAGGCGGCTACCAAATGTCAAAAATAACCTTTAGTTCAGTGAAATTAGATGAAATATTGGTCCTAGGACTGTTCTTAAGACAAGTGAAGAGCACTAAATGGACACTGGAGAGTAATGGGTGTTATAGTGGCTGCTGTCTAAACTTATTCTGTAAGATACCTTTAGCCTAAGTGTTTCAGTGACTTCTGTTAGCAAAGTACGTCTACACCCTTGAGAAAATCCTTATTCCCTTGGAGATTTGAAACGGTGTTTCCTAGAACTGAAGCAAAAGACTTCACCTCTAAGCTATGAATCACTCTATAAAAGTAGGGATTACACTGCGTTCACGCCTCACGGGATAGAACTTAATTCACAAAAATCTGCCAACCTGATCCAATATGGTGTACTTCAGTACTAAGATACGTGTTAGCTTGGTGGTTACATTTTGGACTTGGTTTACAGAAGAAAAAACAGTGACCATTACTCGGAAAGTAAATCATTTCCTATCCATCGGTTAATTTTACGGTCTCTTACCGTTTCCATTAATGAATCAATGTAGTCGCTAATGAAGTTTAATGCAAACCTAAAGTAATCCAATGTTATCATGAGTATAGTTTTAGTGACTGTTTAGACTTCTATGGAATGTTCAGTTGTTCCCTTTAGAAAAGTAATACTACTTGCGTGATTCCAACCAACATCATTTAGAGACACAAATAAAACTTTTAATAATTCAAAATAAGATGCTAAGGAAAATGTGCATCAGATAATGACTGAAATCTAATGATATTTTCAAATGTAACTCGATCGCAACAGATGAACCATCTTATATTCATTTCTTAATCTTTTGTTCGCTAAAATATTCATCTATATAATGAGTTGTAAAATGTGAAATCATAAAAGATGATATAATTTATGCTGAACTGAAAAATTCCCTTGATTTTAGCATCTTACAGTGTTGAAGAGATATAAGTATTTTTCCAGACTTATTTTACCAGTGGACTAACCATCGGAAACCATAGTATACCAAGTATATTATACCATTCATTTTGGTAAACCAGTAGAAAATTCTTCCTAGATAATCATATTTTCAATGAAATCTCTTCCAGACATACAATGTTCAGTAACCTATATCAAAGTAGCATGAGACCAATTTTGGTTACTGAATATAAAACACCTAGATATGTAAAGTTGGTTGTGTATACTACCCAGCTAATTAATTTATGCTTTTAGAATTATTAGTGTATCACACTAAAATTGTGAAAGTATGCTTCGTAACTTGTACTTTTACCGTGTTATATATACAAAGGTCAAGTTTTATACTGAACAAGATAGAATTCCATTCATCAAAAGCCTTCATTAGCTTATGTCGTAAAAGTACGACTGAAAATTTGTGTCAGAAGTCAGTGGGAAAGAAGATCTGAGCCTAGAACTCATCGGCAAAACGTAACAGTGACCTTAGGGAACCTCATATTTCCTCAGTGACTGGAACCTAACTCACTAGAAAGTTTATATCAGAAGTATTTGCGTTAACTTACTCATTACTTGTATGCGACATTTACATCAGAGTATTTTTGGATATCAATTCGTCAACTATCAATATTGAGTTGTACAACAAGTGTAAAAGACAATACTTCGGCGGCGTTGAGTTCTTTGAGTTGGATGCTTTATTCGTAAAGTCTTCGTTTCCATTCTAGACAACATGACAATAACACATTTTAAGCGAAAGAGAGTTTTGATAGTTTTTTCATGGTTGGTTTATTTAC